CTCTGCAGAAAGACTTGAGAACTGCTGCGCAGCACCACTTTAAAAAATAGAAGAACGTATTACTCCTTGGATGCACATATGAAGAAAAGAGGGATGTCTTGAGACATTTGGACACTAACCTCTGTCATATGTAGTCATTGTTAAATAATACACCAATCATCAGACAGCTTTATATTTCTAAATATAAAAATTCGGTGAATCTGATCAAACAGATTTTAAGTAAAAGAGAAATGCAAACAAGTTTTGCAACTTTTTCCTAAACAAAATGTACAAAAATGGGCTGATATCAGCCATCTGATTACACTTTGACTTTGATACTTCGACCAAGGAAACAAGAAAGGAGGACGAAACAGTAAAAGATGCCACTGTGATACCTGATTTTTGTGTTTTTCTTTTACATAAATAAATGTGCACTGTAAATGATTGCAGAGAAGGCTCAAATCAGTGCACAAGGAAAACAAAAATCATCAGAATTCAGGAAATGAAGTGTTTGAAGGTCAAAGTTTCCTGGGGGAGGTCCAAAAGCTACGCTCATGCTTCCCTATTCTGCCTGCACGCTGCAGAGAAAACAGGTTAGCTTAGTTGTATCTACTGAAACCCAGAGCTAAACTAGCACTCTTACGCTGAAATAATACAAAATGGCCCCATGTTAAGTTAACAAGGACTTAATACTAGATCATCAGAAGCAAGAGACCGTGCTTTTGCTTAGCTGGGTGGACAAACTAGTTTAACAAAGACTTGATTCATTCTGGATGAATACTGAAAGAGTAGTGTTCCAGCTCCAATATTACTCATAGACTACATTATTAAAGATATACCTCGTATACTTATAGTACAAAAATTAGAAGCTAAAGACAACAGGCTGCACATGCAAGAGCAGGGCATGAGCAGTCCTAACGAAAGAGAAGGATCTGAAATTTTTTTCCCCATACTTTACACAATATAAGCCAAGAGTTTACAGAAAGGCTTACTGCAATATCCATATTCATGAAAGAATCAAAATCTAAGTAGAACATATGGGAGTCTGGTGTGTGTGTGTGTGGAGAGGTTTGGAGATATCACATTTATTTGTGGAAAAACACAGGCTCTTAATGTGGAAATCAAAGAAAGAAAAAAAATCAGCATCAGTCCACGGTATGATCATGTGGGGATCAGCCTCTTCCTTAGCATTTTCCCAGTGTGGGTGGTTTGGTGGGTGCATGTGTGTGAAAGAGTGTTATGTGCTGCCAAACACAAAGCAGGCAACATTTCGCCCTCTAGTGTCCACGGCTGTATTTGGACTGGATTCTGACGCGCTAATAACTGAGCGCTGCTCAATGAAAAGTATATAGATATGTGAGAAAAGGTCACAAAGTATTAAGGTACTTGTGATTTTTTTTACTTAAATATTTGGATTCTCTTTGTATTACATAGTGTTATAGTGTAAAAATATACAAAACGTATTGCATAAATGCATGCATGTGCAAAACCCCTGATTATTTTAACAAAAATATAACCATTTACTCATTTGATATCACTAAACAATATGTATACGTCACACTTATTTACATATCTGAACGTGTATATCAAACACACACTGTTGTTGTATTGCTGCTAATCCATTTTTATGCCACTGTCATTGCACAAAACAGGTGTTTCTCTGTTCTTTTGTGTTACACTGGTATCTCTCTTTTGAATACAATTACACAGCGCTTTATATTTGAATTTGCAACCCATGTAGATGAGCTAAAGTTAGAGGGCGGGACAACAACTGGATCAAAGCAGGTATATCTTTAGCATCATATGTAGCAGTTTTTACTCTCTCTCTGTTATGACAAAAATCTGTAACCACAGAGCCAGTTTCATGTATGAGGAGACAGGGTTCAAGATGTGCTTGAAAATCATGTTCAGATCTTTTTAAATTACTGACTTCATACACTTAATTACTTTTGGACCAAATGGTGATTCCCCCTTGGAACTGTAGCTAATAAATCTTAAACAACAGTTACTTTTACTAGGATGAAGTGATGACTTCAGAGTTGAGCTATACACAGGCTTTCTGTGGCGCCGACTCTTAGCTCAATTGCTTTAGTTTCATAGAGATATTATCTTATTGTTAACTGTTGTTAACTGTGCCAACACAGTATATTGCTGCCAAACAGACCTATCAGATCTGCTGAGGTACGTGTCCCTGTAGCATGAAGCTACATTTCTGAGAAAGTGTATGCTAGGCTGAGGCTTCCATGGGTGGGCAATTCATTCTCCAAAGGGGCCACATGAGAAACTAGGACTGTTGTGGAGGGCTGCACCAATACGCTGAACTTAGTTCTGCTCATTATTGCTTAGGCTATGCTGTAGTGTATAGAGTTAAGATGAAGCTTTCTATTTCTACGCAGTGTTACTGAGCCATGACAGGCAGGGATAGCTCAGTAGGTAGAGTGGTGGCCCCGTGATCGGAAGGTCGGGGGTTCGACTCCCCTGAACGGCTACCCTGAGGTACCCCTGAGCAAGGTAACGTCCCTACACACTGCTCCCCGGGCGCTGCATTGGTGGCTGCCCACTGCTTCACTGGGTGAATGGGTTAAATGCAGAGGAGCAATTTCCCTATGGGGACAAACACATACACATTATTATTATGACTTCATGTTGTAGCTATGAACTGTCACCAGGGGACAGTATCAGACAATATTTCCAGCCACCTGTTTCTGTTCTTATTGGCTCTAGCTTAGCTCCTACCCCAGAGAAAACAGAAGTCGTAGCATACAAAGAACTTTTACGAAAGAGTGAAGCTTGCAGTAAACTTTAAAATACTTGACTACATTTTTACATACAAAAAACGTACAGTGTTCACAAGTGATGTATGCTGTACCCCTCTGGATACACAGTATGTCCATCCATTCTCTTCCACTTCTCCAATTCAGGGTAGTTGGGGGGCTGGAGCCTATACTGGCTGTCGGAGAGCAAGAGGCAGGATGCACCCTGGATAGGTTGCCAGTCTGTCGCAGGGCTAACACATAGAAACAGACCACACAGCATATGTCTGTACTATATTCAAACTTGTTTCATATTTCTGCAAGTAAAATTGGAGTCACTGTAGCCGCAGCTGTTGTTATGCTACCTACCATGTGAAACTCACAAACAGTACTCCTTCCAACAGAACGTGTTTGGTCTTTATTGGGAATCAAAGCACTTTGAAATCGGGTGATGCTTTTTTAATACACCCTGTACAATCAGACAGTCACATTATTGTACTGACATATGTGCACAATGTACTGAGGTTCACAGTTGTTTCAGGACGTGTAAAGTTGAGAAACCTCATGTGTAATGTGCAAAAGAATAATCTGACCAGGAAGTTGTTCTTTTAAATCTCATTTTGGGGGCAGAATCACCAAATATTTAACCTCCGGACAAAAAATAAAGCTCTCAGACACCTGGAGTCGATCCAAGATGGTTGCCAAGTTGTGAAACTTGCTTCTCTGGTGGAACCCCAAGCATCATTTTGAGTGGGTGCAATCAGCTCAGGTGGCTAAGGTAGGTAACCCGGAATACAGACTGATCTAAAAGCAGTAAGAACAAAGACTCCAGCAGGAGGAAACACAGTCAAAAATGCAAGGCAAGACTGAAACGAATGTAACTAAAAGATGCCATAACCATCTGAATATGTGAAATGTATAGGAGAATGGCGAGGGATATTTTAAGAAAAGGTAAGCGTTTCTTAAAATACACAGTCCAACAGGTAAAATCTAAAACCCACAAACAAGAGACTTAGACATGCAGGAGTAACACAAGACTATATACACAAACAGGACTGATTAGATAACAGGACACGGGAGGAATCACCTGACAGCAGACGATAACAGTCAAGGAAACATAGACTGTATCCCAATTCAG